CCTTCCAGCTCGTAATCCATGAGCTGCAAAACTAATGGCCTGTGTCGCTTTTTGGACTCCGGAATAGTGTGCAGATTTTTCATTGTTTTCAGTCTACCACCCAAGTATCATGAGACGGTGCTGGTACTTACTGAAGTTACGAACTCTGCCTTTACCCGTAAACGAAGCATTTCAAGGGTAACGTTAGGCTTCGCAGAAACCTACCCCACCAGATAGTCGACGTGGCTTTCTCCCAGTGCCCTGCGGCGGATTCACTCGTACTGCGCCACCGGTTCCGTCGATTCGTACGCCCGTATCCAGTTGCGGCAAGTTTTCACGTTCGCCTTTAGTGTGAAAGCGACCTGCTTCCAATCGTCGCGTGCTTCGTACGCTTTCAGTATGACCTTCCTCACATCCCTCGAGTGCCGAACCTGCAAGCCACCTATCGCGTTCAGGTGAACTGCACGTTCAAATACCCACGGCAACCTGATTTGGTTGTAGTTCGTCATAGCAACCCAATCGTCGTTCAAATTCATTCCCTCCTTCTGGTTGGTGGGAATCGCTTCCTTGGACAGAGAAACAAATGCCCACATGGTGCTTTGGCCACCGATATTATATTTGATAGGAGCTGAAGCGTCCCACCTGCACCCCTCTGACTTAGTGCGTCTGAGGTCCTATTGGCTGAAGGCGCCGGGCTTTACCCGCACACTTACACACTTGCGCAGGTGAGCGGCGCACGCCCGGCTCAACGTAATTGAGTAAAGACTCATGGTGTATGCCACTCAGCGCAAAAACTATCTCGCCCTTCAGATTAATTCTTTTGCCCAAAGGGACCACTTGGCCCTTGTAGGTTATTTTTCTTACCTCTTACACCCTGTGAGGAATATTGCGAAGGATTGCAGTGCCCTTGGCATCAACCTGAACCTACTACGTAGAAATTTTTCCAAGGATTCTGGTAACACTCGTCTGCTAGGCCCCGTCCTGCACTATAACGGCCTGCAACGCGTCCTATTGCAAGCACCGGCGCACGCGGGCCAAACGTCGCAAGCTCGATACCTGCTGTTCACCTCGGCCCCAAATGACGTCTCCGATCTAGCGATCCTTCCTCCCCTGGGCAATGGTTGCCACTCTGTCCTTTCCTGCTACTGGACCAGATGCCTTACAAGTCATGCCCAGGGTTCATTTCTTCGCATCTTCCGGCGAGAAGATCAATCCAGAATTAAAGCAGTGACAAGCATACTGGATTAGATTATTTCGCAGTATTTGGATCTCCAGGGTGCATGGCAGCTACAACGATCCAAGATGACGCTGTTCGTTGTACAACAGGTTCCAAACTGAAAAGCAGAGCCTTACTCCGAAGGACCCTTGGATGGATAAAGAAATCAGAGCACGGCCTGTTCCCCAAATTCACTTTTCTCAGACCTTAGGAACTTTATTGCTATCCAGGATTGGAATGAAGAACTGCCTCTATCTGAGCTGGGAAGACTTAACCAGCAGGAAATTACCTGGACCATGGCCTTATATAAAACCCAACCAGCTGCACAAAACACCTCAACGACTGATGTCCAGCGAGGGTAGCTGGACATGAATTCCTCACACTAAGGCCAGTATACAAATGAAAAGTGAGACCCCAGCTATTCTGAAAACCTAACTAACCTGTACAGTTATTCTTCCTAGTCTAATGGACTCAACGTCTATGGCAGGCCATGACTTAGCTATCCGATAAGCCAACCGAGGAGCCATTTGGCTGCGAATAACTGAGTGAACAACTGGTTGACTGGAGGCCCTGCTATTTGTGAAGGACCTTCCAACACACTGGACGACAATGTTCCAGGACGTGGTGGTTTTCGACTGGCAAGCGTTAACCCTCTAAAACGCCACCAAAGCATTTAGAAAGACGGCGACTAGGCGGATATGTCACTGCCCACAATTACACACTGGCAGATTGACTACAGACATTTTCACTATTTTCTTGACACGCAGAACAGACAATCTAAGGCTTCACATACTGACCTCACTACACCTACTGTGCTTTTATTGGTTTCGCTACACACACATGAATCCTGTTCAACGTCACCACGTTGACGCTTTCACCCCTCACGAGTTCCCCTTCCGTTTCTGCAACTTTTACAACTTTTGGCCACCGCAACTTACGCGCATTGTAATGTATCTTTTTCGCAACCTACTTACATTTAAACCTTGCTAAATCCAGAGTTGGTGTGTCTCAATGCATTCGAGCATAAAATATTTATTTATTTATTTATCCTTAATGCAAAACGGCGGAAACTTTTGGATCACTACAAGGTCATAGAACTAGCGTGGATCCACTCAAAGAACCAGGCTGTGAGGAACACTGGCACTCTGAAAAGGCGGCACAAGCGGCGCCAGAAAGAACACTGCCAGGACAAGGAATCGCTCACTTGTCCCGACGAACACTTGTCATACTTGAAAAGATATGTCAGGGTCGGTAGGCGATCCCCATGATACGCTCTGAGGGAGGCACACTGCTGTAGAATGACAAGGAAAAAGCTAACATATTAGCTTCGCAATACTCTTCGAACTGCTCTGCGAAGCCCCTGCTGCACTGTAAATCTCTGCCTGCACAATGTCCTTCTGTTGATCAAATCGGAATCAACCCTGGGGTGGTGCTAAAGCTCCATCTCAAAATGGATCTGAAGTCTTCTCTTGGCCTCGATGAGCTGCATCCGGCATTCCATAAGACTATAGCGGAATACATCACTGAACTCTTCTGCCAAATACTTTGCCATTCTTTCAAAGTCGGCCGTTTACCATCCGACCGGAAAGAAAGAGCTGTGGTGCCCAAGTACAAAGACGGAGACCACCAACGTCCGGCGCACAATCGCCCAAGCTGCCTGATATCCGTCGTCTGCAAGTCCATGGAACGAATGCTCAAACGCGCGCTCCAGCTACAACGTGAGAACTACGACATAATTTCGCCATCCCAACCTTGTTTCCAAAAACTACTCTTTTGCTTCTCCAATTTTGCAGTCGCCAGCGAAACGGCCACAAGCCTTAGATGGCCAAAAGCATATAGACGTGGCCTTCAACGGCCACAGCAAAGCCGTTGAAAACGATCCTCACCAAAGGCTGCGGTATAAACTTCAGGAAATCAGTGTTACGGGCAATGACCTCCAACGGATCGCCGAATTAATAAGAGACTACAGCCTACGCGTAAAGCTCAAGCAGCGCACATCCGCACCTGTGCCATTTAAAAGTGGAGTTCACAAGGAGCCGTACTTGGCTTAGCACCTTTCAAACTGTACATAAAAAATTTCCCGGTTGAGCTCCAAACCGACTGCTTGATCTACGCTGATGATCTCATGCTCTCGTCAACAGTACTTAGCCTAGACCATGCCGATAGCTTACAAGAGGCGCTGGATAAGCTGCACGAGTGGTTTACCTAGTTGCCATTACCTGTATACCTCGCTAAATATGCGGTTCTCGCAATCAGTAAACTTGTCCCGTACAGCACATACCACATTAGTGAATTGCTTCTTTAGAACACCACCCAAAAAGGTTCTCGTGGTCAACCTTTACTCTGACTTTAGTACCTCCCAGGACGCATTGAAGGTCGCTGCTGCAAAGAGACTTCTAGGTGCCTTGAGGTAGTTCTCCAGAATGAATCCTGAGATATTCCGACCTCCACACACCGCTTGCGTCCGTCCCATAGTAGAATATGGGCAGCCAGCCGTGTGTCCCTTCTTTAAGGTTCAGTGGTTTTTGGTGAATCAAGTCCAGAGGCTTGCATCGAAAGCCGTCATCGGGCTACGCGATCTTCCGTACAACCTACGAATTCAGCAGCTGAACCTGTTTCCAATGGATTTCCACCGTCGCCGCGGTGATCGCATGCATGCTAGACGCATCCTTCTTGCTAAACTCGGAAGCAAGCTACTGCAGATCTTCCACCCCATTGCCGACTGCACGACACGAGGTCACAAATGGAAGTTGTTCAAAGTACAAGGGCTCCAGGCTCGTTCAGTCCTCATATTGTCCACCCGGTTGGTGAAGAATGCGAAAGTGCACCAAGTGAAATTTTGACGCACCAACGGAGGAATGTTTCAAAAGGCTTTTAGACAAAAGCTTTATGAGGACGTTTGGATCATGCAGCTCCCGCTGCTACTGCAACGAGCCATACAGGAACGTCAACACACCACCACACGCAACTATCCGAGATTGAATAGGAATCGACGGAGCTGACAAGGGTTCTCCCTCTGCTCTCTACAACCCAATGAACCAAAGAGCAGTGCTCGCCCATTGAGTGTTTAAACCCTCGTTCCGAAGTCCACAAATGAGTTTGAGGTCTGTAGCCGGTTTAGCAACTTTTACTTCAATAGATTTACCAGACAACACCAAATGTGCTTATTGGCGACTATCCAACTCTCTGTTAAGATATTACATCAAATTTCGCATTCGTGACCCTGTCCGTCGGCGCTTTATGCGAAATTCCTTAAGCGTTTAAGAAACCATAACCGTTTTGGGCGGGAGTTTGAAAGTTTAATCATGTGTTTAAATTCTCCAGCAAGGGTCCTATAAAGCTTTATATTCATCGCTCTTTCATATATTTGCGCCGGTTATCGTGCGTAGCTGTTTTACAGCTAGTCTATCATGTGGTAGAAGATCTGTTGACAATCTATGTAACGCCCTACACAAATGAGGAACCGATCGAAATAATCTTCAAGTCTAACGTAATTACAGCTTAGTTGGTAGAGCAGAGGCCGGATAATCCGTATATCCGCGGTTCGATCCCCCGTGGAGGCAGATTGTTGCGCAAAATTTACTCGTGACTTCTACTTTCTACTACGCTTTCTACAAAATCACAGCTTTATTTATGGATAATTTATGGCCTTACTATCATAAAACGTTTGACTTCTTTATTTGTACATAGAACAAAAAGTGTTTAACTTTGATCCTAACTACGGATTTTATCCACCAGTCGACCGTACTCTATTCCTGGTCTTCTACACCTGTGAGTCCGACGCGCGGGGGATTTTCCCCTTGTGATGAGCGACCTATTACTTGGTACTGTCAGAAAGCAAGGTACACGGTAAGAAAGCGGTCTTCATCATGTTTATATACGTTTAGAGTTTTTAAGAAAAGCAGTCCTAATGGAAAGGTATTTGTCCGTTCCGTAAATTACATTTATTGTCCAAACAGATCACTACCTACCTTTGCAAAAGGGATTTCATTGACAGCCTGACACACTGCGATCCTATAGGTATGTCCAGTTCTTTGAATCATTTTTGTTGTTTGTTTTTCTCTTGTTTTATGCGAGCGCTGTGATTTCACGTGCTAACGTTTATTTGCGGTGTCGGCTATTTCATCTAGAGTACATTCTGTTGCGCTACGATTGCTTTTTTTGGACTATTTGAGATTGTGCTGGTGTGTCATGCTAAACCTTTCGGCAGCCATAGAAGACGTCAAAGCACACGCATAGACGGGTGAAATTTCTTTGCTTTTGGTGGATTTCCGCGTTTATGTTCGTTCAGTTAAAATAAGAAAACTAGGAAAATCCAATGGATGTTCCATTTTTAAAATGTCATTAGTCTGGGGTAGGTTCCGCGGAACCAAATTGTCTCGTGGTTGTGTGCGATCGGCCCGCGTTTCACACCGCGACCAACAATTAATGCCCACTTGTCTCGCACCAGCCGTCACTCCTGTGCTGGTCAGATTAAAACATATAATAAAACAGGGAAAAGACAAGAAACTGAAAGAAACACTGGGACTTAAGATAAGAGAATAAAAGTGGAGGATTGTAATTCAGAATAAAATGTGAATGGGTAGAGTTGTGGCTGCTAACCATGGGCGCCAAGCCAGTGTCCAGTCATCTTAATCGTCAGTGCCAATACTACCTCAGTCAGTGTTCCAAGAGTTAAACACCCTACGCGATATCCGGACATCAGAATTCACCCAAGCGGATCGGGCCTTAAGCAGCTTCTCTCCATGCCGACGATGAGTTACCAATCAAGCAGGAATGAATAGATGACCCTATAAGATGCTATTGGTAAGTATCAGATCGCCTCAGTGACACTGATAGCGCTGAGAAAAGTGACCAAGCCCAACCAATCTCTCGGGTTATAACACACGTCTTAGTTCATGCACAATTGATGCAAACCCTTAGAAACAGAGTGACTCTCATGTAGTCCTGCGCTAAGCAACGTGAGTTGACTTGGGCGCAGTACTTTAAGTGGAGTCTGATGAAATCTGTAAAGTTTAACAAACATTTCACCCGTTAGAATTCCAAATGACTTTCAGATTCAGATGGGATTAGAACGATAGGGAAATCCCTTGAGTGTTCTTTCTTGAGCGGATCGTTGAGCCAGGAAATGATAAGGTGCTAGGAGGTCTTGATGCATGTACTACGAAACACCCGAACCACACCCTGGTCAATCAATTACTGCCCACGTTCCGTGCACTAGCAGTCCACGCTGTGTAGGTCACGTGAAGTAAAAGACGTAGAAAGGAAATTGGAGGTAAAGAGAAAAGTCATTTAAATGAAGTATAACGCCAACGAGTGAGCAGAATGACAATATGAACTCAAACTTGGAAGATGGATATGGTCAGGAGAAGGAAAAGGTTTCGTGTTGCCACCAAAGAGCGTCTAACTGACGTTCGAAACCCTTAACTGTAGGTATCCTGACTACACTTTCTGGAAGCGAGTTCCAGCGCTCGATAACTCTACGCGATAACCTAGTTTCCGCCCCGATCCGATCGGAACGCGGCTTGTGTAGCTTCATGGGATGACCGCGAAGACAAGGCAACCTAGCCGGGCTAAATAGCCAGCTCAAGTCCGGTCCAACTTTTCCTGTTAAAGTGCGGTAAGTAAGAATTAGGTCTCCTCGAAGCCGTCGGTAGTGCATTGAATACCCGCCCAAGCCAATTAGATGCTTGGGGTACGATTTCCCCAGTAACCGCTCGACTAATTTGATACCTACTCTCAAAACTCTTTCGAGCTCCATTTTGTCCCGAACAAGGCAGAGTGAGCAAGTCTTTACGCAATATTCCAGATGGGGCCGAACGAAAGCGGAGAAAAGCTTCACAAATATGTCGGTAGTTAAGACCCCCCGAAAGAACGGCGTATTAACCACAATATTCAGAAACCCCTACTTGCGGCCTTCTTCCAGTTGTTACCAGAAGGCAAAAACGAGGAATGGACGATCCATAGATCTACCTGGTTGGAGACAAGAGGGAGTTCGACCCCACCCAGCACGTATCTCGAAGGGGGGAAAATTGCTCCCATGCGAAGGACGGAACACTTGGCCTGATTAATGGGCAGTAGCCACAAAGTAGACCAGTCACAATGTCTGTCCAGGTCATGGATTATCCACAGTAATCTGAACCCCTTACAAGCAGCCTTTGTCCAGTTTGCACTCGACTTGAAGACCAATGACGCGTTGTACTTCATTTGGCACGTAGCCTAAATGTAACGAGCTTGTGTCGAATCCACCTAGCTTTGGCGTCCTCGCGGTATGCTCATCCCGCGTGCGACTGGTGGTGATAATCACCATTATTATCCACGTTAGCTGCAAGTGGAAAACACCTCAGCTATTGTGCCTCAATACAAAAGACAAGAAAAAAACAAGGGGTACTCCGGCTGAGTCCCCAGTACCAGATGGACATCGTTCCGGAGAGCTAACAGCTGGCTATCGTGCCGCAAAAAGATAGTTATATTACGCCTAACGAATGAGATCGTGATTGGAGGGGAGATTGAGCGGGAGGGTGGACAACGGAACCCACAGCACAAACGCCATTGGGGCCGGCTCCTAGCCATATCAGCATGTGTGTCCAACCAAACGTGTTCATCGTCCTTTGGACCCCAGCCAGGCAATCGGGATGCACCAACCGGCGCCAACTTCGAAGTGAGGATTTTCATTTCTCTCGACCAAGTCATCGCTTGACCTCCCCTCCTCCTCTTCTAACCGCACCCCCGGCTCGCAAGTCAAGTCAACATAAGTTTGCTGTGAAGTAGTAGAGAATATCCGTAGCTCGGGATGTGGATGTGGGTTTTGCACTGCTCTCCGAGCTGAATGTTTATCTTGCAAACGTTTCGCTGCCAGACTAAGCAACATTATCAGTGCGGCTTTAAGGTCCTGTTTCGCAGAGCTTCGTAAGCGACTTTCAGATCTAAGTGCTTATTGATCGAATTCTGCTTTGAACACCAGGCTTCACTAAACTCACGTGCTTGTCGGCTTGTGGCTGTCCCCAGAATTTTGACATGTTCCAAGTCGAACTGGTGGCCTTCGGCATCCATATGCACGGACATTAAAGAGTTGTTATCATGACGGCGAACGGCTAGGTTATGTTCGTGTAGCCGTGTGCCAAGTTTTCTTCCTATTTGTCCTACGTAGTATTTTGTTATAGTATCGGCAGTATACCTTGTAGATTACGCCAGATGTTTCCCACTGGCTGTGTTTATCCTTCACTTTTATTGAAGCCTCATATTCAAAGCAGAACTCGATCAATATGCCCTTAGATCTAGAAGTTGCTTACGCGGTTTTGCGCAACAGGACCTTAAAACCACACTGGTGTTGTTGCTTAGTCTGGCAGCGAAACGTCCGTAAAATAATCTTTCAGCTCGGAAAGCACTGCAAAAGCCACTTAAGTTTTATGTGTGCAGATGGGTACATTTTCTGCACTCTACATTATCGACTACGGATGGGTTTAAATTACTATCAGAACTGTAACTTTGTATGAATGATAAAAGAGCACTGTGTACTTATGTCACTTGAATGAATGTCAGTATAATCGAGCGATATTTAGTCATTTGAGCAGAATAATCTTAAACTGCATTCTCTTAGGTGGGAGTTAATTCCCGTAGTATCACGATCACCTTATAGCGCGTCGATCCTGCGCTATATCTGTTACGCGGATACACGAGCAACCGAGAATGCACAGATGAACACACGATTATAAGCTAAAGAAAGATTTATTGTGCGGTCGCTTAGGTGGCTTAAGCTAAAAATAGAGCACCAGGACGGATATGAACGAGTGTCGATTGCGCGCAAGAGCGCCCAGTCCGCAGTTCTAGTCCGATTGGTTGTAAAGCGGATGCCCGTGTTACATGTCTGACTCAAACAAGCAAACCGTTTAATTCCATAATAGATTATAAAACCATTATTTTGAAATATTTTAGAATTATTCACAGTCATTCCGGGGGATCTCCAGGTCACCACAACCTGCCTCGGTAACAGAAATATCGGTCAGCAGCTAGTCAGACGGAACTGTCGTCTCCAAATCCATAGATCGCAAGCAAAATTCCACGAGAACTGCCCGCGCCTACTGTTCCCCAAGCAGACAGGCGTTAGCATGATCCGTGTCAGCAACAGCGCTTTTGAAACCAAGCAAGACTGGAAGGGGTGAGTTTAGCTTAGCGCTTCTGTTGGTATAGGCAATCAACGCTTTCGATTTACTGGTGCCGAGTCGGCCAACTCCATTTCATAGCATAGTCGAGCAGCACGAAAATGTTGTTTGCAGGCATTCCCTGCTTCTCCATAGCGCCGAGAAGCATTTTCTGAAGGGGCTGACCGATACTTTCACCAACACCTGGTTCGACTGTTCACCCGATGTGCAACTGAATCAAACAATCGCAGCTTCGCCATTTTAACGTTCTTCACAGAAATATGGATATGATGGAGCGGTACATCCGAAAGGTAGAACTTGAAGTACTCTCACGCGGTCTGCACGTTATTGTCGGCAGAAGCGATGCGTTGCGAATTCGCTCCTTAGCTCTGATCGCGGAGAAGTCTGTTCGCCATATATTCGGACTCGAATTGTTGTAATCTGTGTGTTCACGGAAGTGGGCACACTTGAATGACACAGACGTGATCGTTCTCCCCCAAAGACAATTCATAAGTATGTTCGCTTATAAACTTTGCAGACCTAAGGGTGATTTGATTTCAAAGGGACCAGGTGTGACCCTCAATGATCCTAATGTGCTGATCCACAAACTCGTATAAAGGTACCCGCAACGTTATGTCGAGAAAAGCAGTGGCAGCCCCTGCTACTGACTGACATATAAAGGTCTGCTAGTCTATCTCTGGGAAGTTAAAATCTCCCCTACTTAGGTATCCGGTAGTCGACTGACCGTGAACGCAGTCAGTGCGCCCCTTGGTAATGCTATCAGGAGCCCTGTGTATTAACACAATGTTTAGCTGGGCGGCGGTCCGCTTCCGCCGTACCAAAGCTATTCTAATGCCGCATTATCCTGGACTCACCATA